TTGACCAAGCAAATGACCACATTGTTAACTCGGGTAGATAAGTTGGCCAAATAACCTCAATCAAGGTCCCGCAGCAGAAGTCGCACACGTCGATCAGACAACACTACAACAAAAGAACAGGTCAGTGCTATTACCATCGGAGATTCAGTGACCAAGCACGCAAGTGCACGCAACCTTGTAGTGCACAAATAAAAGCTATCCAGGAAAACGAATAGGACCGCCGGCAATCGGAGCCACCAATGACGGTCTCGAGGTATCTTCTCGGCTCCATGTTACCGACAAAACAACAAGTCTAACCTTCCTCGTCAATACAGGCGCGGACATTTCGCATTTACCGCTGTCGAGAATCAAAAAAACAGTCTCATCAACGTCACTCATTCTATACGCCGTCAACGGCTCACAGGTCAAGACGTACAGACAAAAAATTTTTACGCTAGACCTTGGCATACGCCGACCAATCACGTTGCAATTCACCGTGGCCAATGTCTCACAACCGGTCATAGGGACAGACTTATTCAAATATTACTTCATAGTGGACATTAAGGTAAGCGTCTAATCGATAAAATAATGCAACTAAACGTCCCAAGTTTTAAGCGACACATTGCCTACGCTTCCATCAAAACGATCGATTTCACTTCAACGTACCACCATCCTTGCGGATTACCCAAGAATCACCAAGGAACCGCAGTTACCGACACACAGAGCATATGAAATTTTTCACCACATCCAAACTAAAGGTCCTCCAGTTGCCAGCCGACCACGACGATTACCACCGGACAAACTAAAAATCGCAAAGGCTGAATTCGCACATTTGATGCAGCTCGGGATCTGCCGACCGTCCAATAGCCCTTGGGCGGCAGCATTGCATCTGGTATCAAAGAAACAACCTAGAGTGGAGACCTTAGGGGGATTACTGAGGTCTGAACGCGGTGACGACCCCAGACCGATACCTGCTACCTCATATACACGACCTCGCCAACCATCTGCACGATAAACATATATTCACCACTTAATCTAGTTAAAGCATATCACCAGGTACCATATCTGTCCTCGAGGAAGATATTCTAAAGACGACGGTAACTAAGCCCTTTGGTTTGTTCGAATTCGTAACCATGCCTTTCGGCCTACGGAATGCAGCACAAACCTTCCAGCGACATAAACTAGATCCTACAAAGTTTAGAATATTGTTTCGTTTACGTAGACGACGTTCTTGTAGCCTCAACAGACGAGGAGCAACATAAAAAAGATCTGCGTCAAGTCTTTCAGCAACTCCAGAAAGTAGGCATAACGATCAACCCAGCTAAGTGCAACTTCGGACAGAAGAACATAGAATTTCTCGGACACGAGATCAACAGCGAAGATATCAAACCTCGGGCAGACAAGGTAAAAGCAATTACAAATTTTCCTCGATTTGAGACGATAATTCAACTCCGTAGATTCCTTGGCATGTTAAATTATTATCGTCGTCACCTGAGGCATGCAGCCAAAAACCAGAGATCGTTAAATGAACTATTGAAAGATAGCAAGAAAAACAATAAAAGACCTATGCCTTGGAATGCTGAGACAATAACCGCATTTGAAGCCTGCAAAGCGGAACTCACAAACGCCACTCTACTAGCATACCCGATCGAAGGAGCAACTATACTTCTCTCCACTGACTCACCTATAGCATTTTTTTCTAAAAAAAAAACTCAGTGACACACAAAAGAAATACCGCACGTATGACCGAGAGCTTCTAGCGATCTGTGAAAGTATTAAATATTTCAAAGACATCCTTCAAGGTTGCATAGTCACTATTAGAACTGATCACAAACCATTAACGCATGCATTCAAACAGCATTTAAACAAAGCGTCATCTCGACAAGCTCGATAGCTAGATTTATTATAATTGCTCAGTTCACCACAAACATATCGCTGGACAGGAAAATATAGTTCCTGACACGTTATCACGCATCAACGCTATCCAAATTCCAGTAATAACTACTACGGAAGAATAGTAAGTACAGTAATAACTACTATGGAAGAATAGGAAGTAATAACTACTTCGGAAGAACAGTAAGTACAGTAATAACTACTACGGAAGAATAGGAAGTAATAACTATCCACGGAACAGGCGAAAGATGAAGAACTTCAAGAACTTTTGAAAGGCGAATCAACCTTAAAGTTAAAAAAATTCACATTATCAGGCTCAACCACATCGCTTTACTGCGACTGCTCAAAAGGCGCTATATGACCTTATATCCCAGGAACGCTGAGGAAACGTATCTTCGACGCCGTGCATGGAATGGCACATCTCAGCGGCAGAGCCACCAAACATCAAATTGGACAAAAATTCGTTTGGCCGGGAATCAACAGAGACATCACTCATTTGGCACGTACCTGCCTTCAGTACCTGCCAGCGTAAATGCTCTCCAGAGGAATTAGTCTATGGCGTACCGCTGAGACTACTCGGAGAATTTCTAGAAAACCTAGATCCGACAGAAAACACGGAGACCTTCGTCATAGCACTTCGTAAACGCATACGACAACTCCGTCCATAATCAACGCAACACCATAGAAAACGGACGGACAACAGCATTCCGACAACAGCAATTAAAACAGGCCACACAGGTTTTCGTCAGGGAAGATGGCATCCGAAAACCACTCCAACATACTTATACCGGGCTACACAAAGTGGTATGTAGGGAAAATGAACATGTTTACGTGATCCACATGAATGGCTGTGACGTTGCCCTATCGATATAAAGGCTGAAACCCGCCTTCTTACCCAACGCAGAAGAAGTACCTGAAGACACAACAGAAAACATGGCTGTGGCAAACGATACACCAAAGAAGAGATGTGAAAAACCTAAAAAAGTACGATTCGCGCCTATTCATCCAGTCTCTCGGAGGGGAGTACATGTGTGGAGACACATTCACATTTTCATATACACATACACATACATTCTCACACTTTCAGTTATACTTCATGCCTTATACTCATTTAGACATACTCCGCCACCAAATGGCGCGCTCTCACGAACACTATATTCAATTGCCCATCTAGATACGTTCTCATCATTATTCATTTTTCAACCATCCTCTACACGACATCATTATATTACATTGTCGCGATTAGGTATTGTATGTGCTAATAAACGAACATTATTACTTGTGAATTCGTGTACCATCAATTACCTACATTCATTATATGTAGCAATCCGCTACAAAATATATATCCATCTCACTTTAAATTCCAAAAGTGTACACAGGTTCAGCCACAGAAAACAGACCTATTGATTAATGCCGACCGACTTCGACGACACTGACCGACGCCGATCAATTATAATGACGACGACGCCGACCGACGCACAATGGTACCGAATATAGACGATCGAAAATAAAATTTTCTACTTTTTCATTGAAAATTAAATTTCTTGTAAAATAATTTCTATTTAGTGTATAAAATTTGAGAAGTAACAGTATTTTTTTCAAAAGAAAAATATACAGTTATAATTAACAATAAAATTTGAAAAACATTCTTTATCTTCCTACGGTTAAATTAATCAATATGTTATTGAATAAGATATTTTAAATTAATATAATAATATGCAAAAATTATATTATACTCTTTTAAAGTTAAATTACTATTAAATTTATTTTTAAATAATTATTTAAAAAAAAAACAATTTTTTGATAATAAGCATACAATTTGACTTTACAAAAAAAAAGAATCAAGAAGAACTAACAAATGAGGATCATATTATAGATCATATTAAATAATGATTTTTTAATTTCTTTATAGAGGATCTTGCAGAGACTTGCAGAAGTAAGAATTATTAATTCTTATGTACTCACACGCAAAAAAAATAATGACGAAGTAAAAAGAACTCTTTTTGCTTCAATATTAATTAACTCGATGAAAAAAAATCATACAGAGATCTATAAAAAAGCAAATTGAGAGTAAAGATTCACACTTTCGATTGCTGTAAATCGCATTTTTGTGTGATCTTTACTTCACGTTATGGATATTTGTAAAATTTGTACAAAATTTTTACTCGTACATTTGACGGGTAATCATTTGTGTCCGTATAGGCGGGTAATCATTTGTGTCCGTATAGGATCAGTCAGATTAAAATATCAATTACCGATTTCGAAAGTAAAGATTTCAAGCTTTAAAAAGTTTTTTTAAAGATCTCGCTACGATGATTTTTCACTGAATTATTGCTATTTGAAAATATTAAAAATGTGTAAAAATTTAGTGTGCAAAAAAACGGGCCACTAAATTTTTAATATTATATATACAGACACTAGCTATACGGACACAAATGGATACCTGTCAAATGAGAAAATTTTGTATAAATTTTACAAATGTCTATGGCGTAAAATAAAGATCGCACAAAAATGCGATTTACAGCAATCAAAAGTGTGAATCTTTTCTTTCAATTTGCTTTTTTATAGACCTCTGTATGATTTTTTTTTTACCGAATTATTCAAGGATCCTTTTTGTTTCGTTGTTTTTTTTTTTGCGTGTGAGTGTACATAAGAGTTAATAATTCTTAATTCTGCAAGTCTCTGCAGAACCTCTATAAAGAAATTAAAAAATCATTATTTAATGTCTATAATGCATCGTCATTTGTGAGTTCTTTTTGATTCCTTTTTTTGTAAAGTCAAATTATATGTTTATAATAAAAAAATTAATTGTTTTTATTGAAATAATTATTTAGAAGAAATTTAATAATAATTTAACTTTAAAAGAATAATTTAATTTACAATATTATTATTAATTTAAAATACCTTATTCAGTGACGTATTAATTATTTCATTAACTTAACCGTAGGAAGATAAAGCATCTTTTTCAAATTTTATTGTTAATTATAACTGTATATTTTCTTTTAAGAAAAAAACCTGTTACTTCTAAAATTTTACACACTAATAGAGATTATTTTACAAGAAATTTAGTTGTCAATAAAAAAATTAAAAATTTCATTTTCGCCTATATTCAGTACCACTGTGAGACGCCGACTGACGACGACGACGCCGATCGATATTGTATCTTTAAACTATTTATCATACAAATCGAGAAAATTTGAAAAAAATCTACAACGATTTACATAATATACGAAGATGAACTTCGTGCAACTTCTCGCATCGTGTACAGACAGACGAGTTAATGATGCGCGCCTTGTGACAAACTAGAGACAATAACAAAATTCTTTTCGGTATATTTATATTTTCGATTCTTGATATAAAACTTTAATCATTTATGGTAGTTGGCAATAATCGTTAATCAAAACACTTGACTTTGCAAATTTATATTTTTCAGATTGAAAAGTAAGTGACTGTTATTTTAGGTTATTTTAAATCAATTTTTTATGACAAATAAAAACGTCACTCTAAAATTCTTATACCTACTGCCGTTGTTAAAAAAATCCTTCATAAAAATTAGAAGGCACAAATGTACAAGTTATCGCCATGCCGCCATAACGGTTTACCCAATAATCGTCATGGATATGTCCCACAAATCGCCATACGTGTTTAACTATCGCATAAACGAACGATGATTCAGACAGATAAATTTATATATACGAGTAAAGCTGTTCATCAAACGTCAAGACGAAGTATGATGACATCTTGTTACATTACTATCTTTGGGTAATTGTATATTGTCAATAATTTTGGAGCATTGATAAGGATCCAAATCAGGATCGAAGCGTTTGCGTATTTGATATGTTTATTTGAATAAATTATTTGCACATTGTCACCCACTGTTTGCTCAAATAGACATTGATTGATTGTATAGATTTATCTCGGCCGAACTATAATATAATACTTAATCTATTAATTATATATATATTTTTATAATTTTTTATATTTTATTTTTTTTTCAGAACTAGATATCATTATTATAAATTTTCAATAAATATTAATAGCTGTTCTAACAGAAAAAAATTGTAAAATTAGTTTTGATTCGAATAGTGCCGATCTCTGTTCTACATATACTAGTTATCAACATAGAAATATGATCCAATGATCTACATTCTTTATGCTTATGTATTTATTTATTAACTTGCCTATGTCTATGATGATTACTGATCCATAAAATGTCTAGATAATAACAATTACGGATCTAATTTTTTTATTTAGATTTTGAATACATTATTATTCGATTTACAAGAATTTTTTTCGGCCCTAGTCCCAGTAATCAAACAGATATGGCGATTATTCGAACGACTACGTGCTTCGATGAACCAGTGCTGGTTACGTCATAAAAAAACTATGAAATTTGTATGAAATAATAATTTGTCATGGTATATGTAAAACTGTGATCTCGATTTATAACTCAATTTATCTCATGCAAGTTGTCATTACTCCAAAATCACACAAAATAGTCCCTCTTAACCTCACAATGAAGCATTTGATCGAAATCACGCATAAGCTCGGTATATGCTCCATATATTCGAGTTAATAAATAGTGAATTCATATACTTATGAGTTTCGTAATGTAACACAACATTGTAAATACCTCCTTGGAAATAAAATAAAATAAAAATATCAGCAAGCCGTACGATCGACAGAAACCCTGGTAGCAAGTTGACGTCAAAATGACGCACTGCACGATCTTCAAAATGACGTCAACTTGCTACCAGGGTTTCTGTCGTTACATCATTTTGACGTCAATTTGCTACTTGGGAAGCACTAAAATACGTCTTTAATACGTAAACTTGGCAATTACTGGCATCCTGACGATTTCTGGACCAACTACCTTACTTTTATTTTGTATCGATCATGAAACAAAATGTGCATTTGCTTTTGGTTTTATTCCTATATTCAAAATATGAATATAGTTCTGCATAAATTTTGCTTCCTGAAGTAAAACTAATCTGTTTTTTTACACATTTAGACCGCAAGTTTTGTTTTGCATGCCATTCCTGAAATTGAGTAATTAACCGGTAACGTTCAGCATTGATGACTTGGTTGTAGCAGCTCATAGTACACTATACCGACTTGATCCCACAAAACGCACTGCACGATCTTCTTGCCATAAATATCCTGTTTTAGCATTGATGTTGATAGTTGAGACACCCATGATTTCTTGCTCTTAGGATTGTCGTAACGAATTCATTTTTTATCGCCAGTTACAATTCAATGCAAAAATGATTTCCGTTTTTGTCTTTAAAGTAGCAATTCATAAATGGCTAAACGTTTCGCAATCTCTCTTTCCCTCAATTCATGTGAGACCCAATTTCCTAGCTTTTAAATCATTCCCATTGCTTTTAAACGTTTGCTAATGGTTGACTCATCGACATTTAATGTTTTCGACAACTCTTTGAGTTTCTGACATGAATCTTCCTGAAGTAATGCCTCCAATTTTCCATCTTCAAACTTTTTCGGCTTTCTTTGGGCGCTCTTTGTCATTCATGTCAAAATCATTTTTAAATCTTCTAAACCATTTCTGCAAGTTGTTTCAGATAGAGCATGATCCTCATAAGCCTCCACTAGCAAACGATGACTTTCAATAGTAGATTTCTTGAGATTAATATAGAAAAGTTATGCTTCCCGCAAATACTTTTTTTTTTATACAAAACTCGATATTTTTAATGCGATAAAAAATTGTGATCCGATCAAATTTTATATACTAATTATTGAAGCCTATTGACAGTGCTTTCACATACATCAGCAGTTATTTTCGGCCTTGTTGAAATAGCACAAATATCTTTCCTGGTTAACAGTGGGAATTAATTCAAGCACCTAATAACATTGAAGCCATATGAAAGCCAGAAGAAGACTCAAAAATTAAACTAGTTGTAAATATGGAATCGATAAATGAGTAAATCGAGAAATCCTAAAATACGTATAAACTATTTTTATGCATGTAGTAATATATAAAAAATTTTTACGAATAAAAAAATGTTTACGGTTTTAGAATGAAAATTTCACACGAAATGCCCCATATACAGAGTCTCATTTTAATCGAATATCTTTTTCACTCATATCTATATCACCTCAAATATCTTTTAAACAGTGCATTTTAAAGAAAAATGTTTCAGACAAAAGTTTTGGGACTTTGAGGGGTACATAAGATGGTACCATTGGTTTGACCTTGAGTGGCGTCGTCAAGGTCAGAGCAAGGTCATTTTAAATTTTTTAAACGGAACTACCTATTTTGTATTAGATATTCTTGTAACTTACCTCGAGAACTTTCCACTATAATTAAATTCATTTCATCTTCAGCTGTCTTCCTTTTCATTAAGTACTTTTCGAGTTATAAAGCTTGCAAGTTACAGCACCGTCGGCATTAACATTACTCAAGATCGACGGCTAAAATCTCTTGAATGTTGTTCAGGATTATAACCTGGATAATATTTGTCAAAATCAAGGTCATTGCAGATTGTTCCTCTTATTTTTATTTTTGCACTAAAAATTCATTTCTACATAAAAATGAAAATAAAAAGTACAACCTCCAATGACTGACTGTATGCGTGCGGGCGTGCGTGCGTGCAGGCGGGCGGGCGTGCGT